ATGGCGGTTCTCCTCAGATGCATCATATGTGTTTTAATCAAGAATGGAAGGAGATTAATTGTTGTATTTTGCTTCGAAAACCTGTTGAAAAAATGTTAATCAGGTAATTAAATTTAAAATATTAACTCATAGTTTGATATAAATAAATAAAATTTAAATAATGAAAAATTTAAGAATTGAATTAATATAATAAAATTAAAGACAAAACTGTCCAAAAAGGATCACCATTTATTACTTGTGTTCCAAGAACACAAGTAATAAATGGTGATCCTTTTTGGACAGTTTTGTCTTTAATTTTATTTTATTGATTCAATTCTTAAATTTTTCATTATTTAAATTTTATTTATTTATATCAAACTATGAGTTAATATTTTAAATTTAATTACCTGATTAACATTTTTTCAACAGGTTTTCGAAGCAAAATACAACAATTAATCTCCTTCCATTCTTGATTAAAACACATATGATGCATCTGAGGAGAACCGCCATTCTTTTGAAAAGAATAATGTTGAAAATCCTTTGTAATAGTTCGCTTTGGAAATTTCAAGCTGAGAATTTTTTCCCGTAATTCAGTCACAATCTGAATTTTAATAAAAATAGTTTAATTCAAAATTAAACTATAATTTTAAAAAATTACAAGAAAATATTTTTGAGTTTACATAAATGCACAAAAGCATTAGAAATTCAAGATAATGAAACATGATTGTAATAAACTTTAATATATACAGTATGTAACTTTTTAACTAACTATGTTCAGTAAACATTATAAAAACTATTTTACATATAACATTTAACATTAATATAAATTTCCTTTCAACATTACTTTGAAATTATTTTCTTGTAAAGAAACATTTACAAAAAAACATTTCAAAGACTAATAATTTTAATTATAATTATTTGCTCTTATGAAGAATTTAATTTATTAATAAAATAATTGGCAGTCACTGATGGAGGTGTCAGCAGTGAATTTTGTCAGCAATTTTGGTGCAATTTAAACTAATTATGAATTTTTGTTTTCTGTTACAGATAATAACCTGGTTTTCTGTTACAGAAAACAAAATTCTGTGATTTTATTTTATTGGTTCTTTTCAGTTAACAGGACATCAGAAGATAATCATAAAAGACTATCATGTTTAACAATTTATCCCATGTGACTTCAAGTAGCCCACTTGACTGTTTGTGGAGTACTTGATGTTATAAAGTTTTAGGGGGTGTAATGATTAGGGGGCTGGGGGAAGGCTTACCCCCACCCAGGCACTGAGATGCAAGCAATAACGAGCATCGAGGTGCATGTCTACATGCAAAGCATGTAGAATAGGCAGTAGATTAATACGTGTTAAAAACTGACCTTTGGAGACAAATATCACGCAAAGGGTCAACAATTCTGGGGTGGTATAAAACTTCTCATTCAGAGCTTGAGTCTTATCTGTTGCAGTACATATCAGCTGGTATCCTGTTAACTGAAAAGTACTGTTTAATTTTTATTTTGTTTTAGTTGCATGTTATGCCGACAATTCACTGCCAATTTGTGTTGTGTATAATATGTTGTTTTTATTGTTGTTGTTTTGCCCATACAGATAGGTATTTACCTTGTACTAATAAATAAATAAATTAATTAATTAATAAAATAAGAAGAAAAAAGATTTTATTAACAAAATCNTGTCGGGACCTTGAATTGTACTTTTGATACTGCTGTATCTGTCTTGTAAATTTTTGTTTTGTTTTAATAAACGCCGATGAGAGGCGCTCTCTGGGTCCCATGCCTTCTTTCAAACTTTCCTATCTTCCTTTCTTTTCACACTTCACATCTCATGCTTTCTCTTCTTTCCTACTTCTACAGGGTTAAGTCCATCGCTTAAAAGACGGACAGCTCTCTTCTCTCCTTTTAAACATGGGCCTATGAGTGAGGTCATGTAGTGCGCTCTCGTCGGATTCCACTAAGCTGGAAAATGACTGAACAACGTGAGCAGCGATATTACATCAAATTTTGCCAAAAACCTTGGCGATACCCAAGCGTAAATCATTCGCAAGATTCAGCAGGCTTTCGGGGACGATCCTCGAGGCAAAAAAAAGTGCGGCAGGTCCGCAGCAATATCAAAGGTTATGTTGACAGTTTTTTTGACTCTCGTGGGGTGGTGTGTCGTGAGTATGCACCACAAGGCCAAACCATCGCAAAGGAGTACTACCAGGAGGTCCTTCATCGTCTTTCCGATACAGTGCGACGCAAACGACCGGATCTGTGGTCGATCAAAACTTGGCAGCTCCATTGTGATAACGCATCTGCCCATTCTGCACATCTGATTCGGGCTTTCGTCGCCAAACACAATACTCCTGTGGTTCGTCACGCTCCGTACTCTCCCCACATGGCTCCGTGTGACCTTTGGCTATTTACCAAGCTGAAAATGCCGCTAAAAGGAACCCGAATTTAGTCAAGAGAAGACATTGTGCGGAATCCGACAGACTGGCTGATGGTCATTCCAAAAGATGCGTTCTAGCAGTGTTTCCAGCAATGGCAGGAACACTGGGAGAAGTGTATACATTACCAAGGAGACTACTTTGAAAGGGGATTAGGGTTTTATACCTCAAAGTCAATAAATTTATTTTTGCCGACCAAAGGTCCGATACTTTTTGAACACACCATGTATATTTGATTAAATATATTACCTGAACAGTAATTTAATATAGGAATTACTCTCAATTAAGACAAATGAACTATATTCTCGTAAAAATTTATTCAGTAGAGTTAATGCCTGACGACATTGAATTTGATTGTAGCGACCATTAGAATTGGGTAAATGAATATTTTTAGGAAGAGGCATATCATGTTCTAAAATAATTCCGATTCTATGAGTATGCATCCATTTTTGCCTGTAAAAAATATAGATTTCTATTACAATAAACTTTAAACTAACTTAATCTAGACCAGAATGACAAAAATAACAAACTGCACTGAGAAAATATTCTAATTAACAATATTTATCTGTTAATAATATTAGTTAACAAAGTTTACAAAACTTCATATTTATAATGTTGACATAGATGATTTTTCTTGTATTAATGGATAAAATAAAATAATATAAAAATATTGTCTTAACCTAACATATTAATTAAAAAACAAATAACCTAATAATGTGTTAATATTAAAATTATGATTAGCTTTATTCATTGTTTAATTTTTTAAAGTAAACTATTTAGAAAATAATTGCTTTAATTTCAAATAATTTTATAAATTAAAATATTATCATACTGTAAAACTTTTCATTTTTGTTTTTATGCTATATACAGCAAACCTTTTTAATATAGTTATGTTTTGCAATGTATGCTGATTTACATTTGGAAAATCAAATATAATCAATTCACAGTATACTGAAAACTTTAATATGTCCAGTATATTCTCTGAAACAATCTGTAATACATAAAAATTATTACTATTTAAAAACTGTACACAATTTAAATATTTGATTATAATTTAAATTGTTTATAGTTTTTAAATAGTAATAATTTTTATGTATTACAGATTGTTTCAGAGAATATACTGGACATATTAAAGTTTTCAGTATACTGTGAATTGATTATATTTGATTTTCCAAATGTAAATCAGCATACATTGCAAAACATAACTATATTAAAAAGGTTTGCTGTATATAGCATAAAAACAAAAATGAAAAGTTTTACAGTATGATAATATTTTAATTTATAAAATTATTTGAAATTAAAGCAATTATTTTCTAAATAGTTTACTTTAAAAAATTAAACAATGAATAAAGCTAATCATAATTTTAATATTAACACATTATTAGGTTATTTGTTTTTTAATTAATATGTTAGGTTAAGACAATATTTTTATATTATTTTATTTTATCCATTAATACAAGAAAAATCATCTATGTCAACATTATAAATATGAAGTTTTGTAAACTTTGTTAACTAATATTATTAACAGATAAATATTGTTAATTAGAATATTTTCTCAGTGCAGTTTGTTATTTTTGTCATTCTGGTCTAGATTAAGTTAGTTTAAAGTTTATTGTAATAGAAATCTATATTTTTTACAGGCAAAAATGGATGCATACTCATAGAATCGGAATTATTTTAGAACATGATATGCCTCTTCCTAAAAATATTCATTTACCCAATTCTAATGGTCGCTACAATCAAATTCAATGTCGTCAGGCATTAACTCTACTGAATAAATTTTTACGAGAATATAGTTCATTTGTCTTAATTGAGAGTAATTCCTATATTAAATTACTGTTCAGGTAATATATTTAATCAAATATACATGGTGTGTTCAAAAAGTATCGGACCTTTGGTCGGCAAAAATAAATTTATTGACTTTGAGGTATAAAACCCTAATCCCCTTTCAAAGTAGTCTCCTTGGTAATGTATACACTTCTCCCAGTGTTCCTGCCATTGCTGGAAACACTGCTAGAATGCATCTTTTGGAATGACCATCAGCCAGTCTGTCGGATTCCGCACAATGTCTTCTCTTGACTAAATTCGGGTTCCTTTTAGCGGCATTTTCAGCTTGGTAAATAGCCAAAGGTCACACGGAGCCATGTGGGGAGAGTACGGAGCGTGACGAACCACAGGAGTATTGTGTTTGGCGACGAAAGCCCGAATCAGATGTGCAGAATGGGCAGATGCGTTATCAC